GGCCCCCGCCTGGGAGGGGTCCCCTGCGGGAGGCTGGAGATGGGCACGAACTGTCACAGTGCCTAACCTGGACAAGCTTAAGTGTATCTGTGCCATAGGCCTGGGAAGGCTTGGCTTGGAGCATGGCCTCCCACATCGGTCATTCCTCCCCTCATTGCACCCACTGCCCTTATGCGAACTCCTACCGGGTAGTAATTCTGAACTGCAGGCTCTCTGCTTCACATGTGTGAACCAGGAAATTTCCCAGCGTTTCTCTTGTCACTTGTCATCTTCCTTCTAATTAAAAGATACTCCGGTGGTTAGTCCCGAATCTGTGAAAAATCTTGGTCTCAATTCTAGCTAGCCTTTCATATTGTGAAAATTCCCAAATTGAATTTGAGTTCAACACCTGATTAAGATACCAGTGTTCATCAATGAATTGAAATGCATTAGGGTACCACTATGGAATAGAGTATTATACATCCAGGAAAAGATTGTGCAAGATACAATGTATGTGTAAGGTTCAGAACAGTGATGTAATATGCCACTCTTGTTAAAAAATATTCATGAATACATTTTCTACACAAGCTCGTGTATTCCAGGATCAGGCTTCAAAGGAAATGATGCACAAGAAGGGTAATAACAGGATTCGTCTCTTGATTATAGATTAACAAGAAGTTACAACACATAATACACAGAAGTATCTCTACTTTTCACCCAGTTCCTTCCACGGTCTGCATCAAAATCAGGAAACTAACACTGGTGTGGAACTCATATCATTTTGTCATATCTAAATTTATGTAACCACCACCACCACCATAGTAAGGATACACACCTTCCTCTTTCCCCAACAAGATCTGGAGGGTTTCCCGCCGAATCGCTCATGTTATTTGTGTCCACCATCTGCTAGTATCGCTTTATTTTTATGCCTCATTTCTTAAATGTATGTAGCAAGATTCACTTTTTTTGTTATATTGCTATATAAGTTTCATTGCGTTTTGAGACTGGGTCTCATGTAGCACAGGCCAGACTCACTGAATTTGAAATGACCTTGAACTCTGGATTCCAGGATTACACATGTGCACCACTGCACCCTGCAATGCTGTGTACACTCTGATGGATGCATACTCATGTACCAGTCACAATGAACAGTGGTTCTGTCTGTGAACCGGGGGTGTCGCTAGCTTGCCTAGGGTGCGGTAGGCCCTGGGTCCCACCTCCACCCGCACTGGGAGAGGGTGGTCTCACCGTTTTCCTTTTCCTCTGTCGTTTTCTTTTCCAGAATGCCATATGAATAGCAAGTACGCAGCATCTGGGAGCTTACTCTGCATACTGAAAATTCACCCAAGTCGCGCTTACCAATAGCCCATCCGTTTGTAGACGAGTATACTTCATTATGTGAGCAAGTCACATTTTGTTCATCTGGTTAAGGAATAATTGGATCATTTCCCTTTTTGGCAATTCTAATAAAGACTGTAGACATTTGTTAGCAGTTTTCATTCCTTAAGTGACTATACCATAGATCTGTGCATCATTTAAATAATTGTATACTCCGAAGTCACATTGTGTGTGTGCGCGTGCGCGCGTGCGCGCACACATACAGACACGTGCATGCGCAAGTGTGTATCTATGTGGGCACACATGTATGTGTGTGGCTGTGCTATCCACCTTGTTTTTGTTTGTTTATTTTCTGAGGTAAGGTTTCTCATGGGCTTGCCTAATTCTGCTAGGATCTCTGGCCAGCATGCCCTTGGAATTCTCCTATCTTCACTTCCCCAGCACTGGGTTGCCAAGCAAATGTCACCAGGCCCTTCTTTTCAATCTGGGTTCTGGGGATGTTATTCAAGCCTTATGTTGCTTGGCAAGTACCTTTTTAACTGAGTTGTCTTTCCACCTCCTGAAATCACATTTTTAAAGTTTTGTTTCTATATTAGTTATTTTGATGCTGAGGATTAAACCTAGGGACTCTTGAGTGCTAAGTAGCCAATCTACTACAGCTCTGGTTTTATTTCCAGTTGATGAAATCATAATTAACCACAGGTATGGAATGATCACATTAAGGTAATCGGTACCTGTTACCTCAAATACCTTTGTAGAAATGGAAACATTTAAAATCCTCTCTCAGCGATGTAGAGGTGTCCAGAATATTAGCTGTCATCCGCTTGCTGCACCATGCAGCACCAGGCTCATTCCTCCCATCTGTCACTTTGTAACCATGGAACACTGTCTCCCTTTGAGGTCAGCCTCCTCAGTAGCTACTGATAAACACCACTCCACTCTACTCCCAGGAGTTTGACTTTTCCTGTAGATTGTATGCGGGTTTTTAGATTCTGTATGATTCTGTTGTGTACTTGTCTGTGTGTATGCATATGGGGTAGCTGGAGGCTAGATGAGAGAGTCAGATCTTTGGAGCTGGAGTTATAGACAGGTGTGAGCTGCTCTGCGTGGTGTGGGGAGCTGAACTCTGGTCCTCTGCAAGAGCAATAAGTGCTCTTAACTGCTGAGCCACCACTCCAGCCCCCCTCTTCCCTCTTCTAATTGGGCCCCCTCACCCATTTATCATAGGGCCCAATTGGAGTCTTATTGTTTTCAACTATGATGAGGACTATAAGGGATAATGTACTTGGTACAGCCTAAGTCACCAACATCTGATAACAGATTTTATTACTAGGGATATTAATTCATTTTTTGTAGATAATAATAATAATAATAATAATAATAATAATAATAATGTCAAAATGCATTGGTTGCCCATCTACAATACAACCCCTACACCTGACTTAGGTTCAGGGAAGATCACAGAAGAGGGGAAGGAAAGATTGTAAAAGCCAAAGACCAAGAGCATGCTTCAAGTTAGTGTGTCCTACAAATGACAGAGAAGCTGCACCCATGACATCTCAACAATATAGTTGTCTAAACAAAATCTGTAAATGACAGCATCAACTGACATGTCAGTGTATATGAGAACATCTCACAAGGCCCTACCCTTAGATGAAGAGCAACAGACAATCAATGGCTGTTGATTCCCCATGAATGAGCCTCCTGATAGGTTAGCCAATCCCTCCCCATTAACTCTAAACACATATATACACAAGAGCAACATTGAACAAATGCAGCAAGTTGTATTTACAGATTTATTTGTTTACATATGTAACAATAATAACTAAAGGAAAAGAGGCCACAAATTTGAGAGGGAGCAGGCTGGGCATGGGGATGGCCATAGGAGGGGTTGGTGGAAGGAGATAGGGATGATGGTAATACAGCCCACATATATGAAATTAAAAATAATATAAAAAGAAATAGAAGACAAAAGATTTCCCAGTTCCTCAAGTTCATAAACTCTCCTATTTTCATCGTGTGTGTGTGTGTGTGTGTGTGTGTGTGTGTGTGTGTGGGTGTGTGTGTGTGTGTGTGTGTGTGTGGGTGTGTGTGTGTGTGTGTGTGTGTGTGGGTGTGTGTGTGTGTGTGTGTGTGTGTGGGTGTGTGTGTGTGTGTGTGTGTGTGTGG